ATATAAGTATTGATACATATGGTCACCGAATACATATACTCCACACAAGTCACTTGATTTGTGTGTGAGCTGTTATACCGCCTGGGGTGCTCAGAAGGTAGTTTTCATAAGGGTCACACCCGTAGCCTTTGACCTAATGGTGTAATCTACAAGACAGTGGATTAACGTTAAAAAGTGCAGTCCCATGGTAGTCGGTGACCAACAATAAGTTCATACTCGATTTGTTCCTTCAGGATCTTGGATCCTATGTGTACCATTGGTCGAGAGAATCAGGGTTTTCTAACTCCCCTAGGTGAAGAGCTGACTCTCTTCACTCTCGACTGTACCAGTGCAATTGGGGTTTTTTGTGTAAACTGTTACATCCAATATATATTTCAGACAATCAGTGATGAAATTGTATTTAGCGGGATATTTAAAAACGTAATTACATCGTTTTTAAATTCATAGGAAAATTTCGTATGGGTAGTTACTTTTAGTCTCAATTGTCTAACATGTAGTCAACCTTATAAATTTCTCTTCTCTGAACACTTTAAATCTTTGATTAAGAGAACAACTATAACACTGAAATACAATCATAATGCATTTGGCAATATGGATGATGATAAAACACTGATCAGAAATTGATTGATCTATGTAAGGAATATATCTTTGATCGTAACCAAAATGAAATATATGTGTAGTTTAGGACTGCAATAAATCATTCTCTTATTGATATATATGCATCCTGTGAAAACTGCCTCGATATTGCCTTAAGTGATATGTTTTATAAGCAAAGATGGATGGTAGCTAACATTGGAATCCAGAATGTATATATATTTTGTTCTATTTGGGACTCGTCAACTGGATGTATCTACATCCTAGATTTGATATTCACTCCACAACTCAAACTGAGTAATATTCGTTTCAAATGCTATCACATTATCCACTTAGCTATTGAATCCTAATAGTCATTAGCTTGTGCAATAGGATAAAGCTTAAATTCACTTTATATTGTTTATTTAAATCTTAAAGACCTGCAATTGATCAATCTCTAGATTCGAGTTCCAGAGTGAACAACATTAACTTTGTGATGTAGATAACTCCAGTTGACAAGTTGTAAATAAGATGAAACACACATTTTAAATTCCATAGTTTGTTACCATCCATCTTCATCTTTAGTTATGTTTTATAGATTCATAATAAATTTCAGAAAGATAAAAAGACAATTATGATTGTATATTGAACAATGTTTCAATTAAACTTGGCATGATATTTTTGTTGTTGTTTAAATCATACGAATAACATGAATTGCAGAGAAAAAAAAACAAAAAAAAAACTTTATCTCATTTAAAGAAAACATTTAACTAATTCTCATGAATAAAACTTTCACCTTAGAAACAAATCTGAGTTTTTTTTTTTGTTTTTTTTTTTCATGTTTGTTTTTGTATTTTTTTTTCTGTGAACTAGCGGAAAACTTTGAGTAATATCATAGATACACTCACATAAGTACTCGCGCAGGCACATACACACATACGCACACATACGCACACACAAACAAACAAACAAATATGCACAAACACAGGAAACACAATTCACCTCTTCGATATAAAGAAATAATAAATTACGAAATTCGATACATGCAACAATATGAATTCCAGTACTTTACACATAGAGATAATAGAACAAAGAAAATAGAACCGAACCGAACTGAACCGAATCGAACAGTTTTGAAGTTAGAGACTAAGTAAATGTGTTTTATTGTATAACCTAAATTGGTTAGCTAAATCTCTTTGATGTTTAGTTTTTTTTTTGTTTTGTTGTTGTCGTTGTTGTTGTTGATGATGATGAATTTTGTTTTGTTTATTTATTTTTTTTCTTAAATTTAAACTTAAAAAAAGAGACTGTCATCTAATAGAAATGAATTATGTTTGTCAATAAGCTATGTGATTAAGCAGTTATGTAATTTCAATGGTTTAGATCATGAGCAAATGGAAGCTAGACTATCATGGAAAACCTGGAAATGCTGGAAAAGCGTTTCCTCTTATTGTGGGGCTCCTTAGCAGTGGGCATCCATGATCCTGCTCCCAGCGAGATTCGAACTCAGGACCTGTCGGTCTCGTGTGTGAGCGCTTAACCTCTAAACCATTGAGCTGACCAACATCCAACGGTATTAATGTCTAACTTTAACTAATCCACGAAATTGAGCAACATATCCACCAATGTCTTCAGTTAGTTACCATCTCACAACAGACCTGGTTGAACTCCGCTGATCACTGCTTCTTACTACTATTCCAGGAAATACGTCTTAAAGCCGGTCATTAGTGAGCATATGTTGTTGTAGAATTGTACTATAAATAGATAATGAGAAATTTTAAGCATTCTGTAATGATCATTTTCTTGGTATTTAATTATAAGGAAGTAGACATTTTAAGCATGTTATGTAATTCGGAATAGAAGTCGAATTGAGCAAAACATTGATAAGATAGAATAAGAAACATTTTATTGATAGTTATATTCAAGTGTTCAAATTTAAACAAAACAGTAGGTAAGTAAATTTTAGCTGGCGATTATTGCGGTGTATACTACTGATTTCGATAAATATAAGTAGTATGTATCATCAATTGAAAGTGCAATGTCTAGAGATAGAAGGTAATGAAGTTCAAAGAAAAGACAAAGATAGCAGAGAGTGATTGATATGGAAGAGAAGGAGCAGTTAAGTCTGAAACAATTGATTGACATTTTGCAAATGAGGTATTTACTGTATGATTCTTAAATTTTGCCAGGATATTCTATAATGTTGTATTCAAATACATTTCATTATCCCCACTTGTGTCCTCATTCACCACAAGACTTATGCTATTCAGTAGCATTATTGGTATAAATACTGAGAATAAGATAAATGGATGGATTTGTTCTTATCTTTCTGGTGGTGAACAGTAAACTATTTGTAAAGGAGAGTGTTACACTTCTTTATTAACAGAAGTTGGTGTAGCTCAAGAAGCCGCTTTTTACTCTTTTCATTTCAGAGTTTTTCTTATATGGTCCAATATCTTGAAAGAATGAACATTTTTCAGTCATGAAAAGTGATCTCATCGTATGCGTACCAATTTCTGACGTTTATCTTTACTTTGTAATGAATGAGTCGTTAAAGAGCATTATGAACGATCTCTCATTACTTCCAAATATCATTGGTAGTAAGATTAGAACTATCTCGTTATTGATATTCTGGACTGAATGATTATAAGTCGTTGCGACCATATATACATCTTTCACGAATTACTACAATATACCTATATTATCATGACTTATTTGAAATAATTGATTCGTGGTTAACAATGAAATCTAGATTGAGCGTGTTAGCCAACTCGACTGAATTGGACCTACCTCCATCTCATTGTTTATGTTTATATTAGGACTAGAACTAAGTACCTTTGCTTTTAAACTCCCATGGAATTATCCATAGAGCTACTGAGTTCAGCAGCATATTTACAACTGAAGAATATCTGGAACTCAAAACAACTCTTTGTCAACCAACACCAAGGTCAGAATTTGCAATACAAATGTCAAGACAGTTCTACTGTATGAAGCAGAAACCTGGCGAACTACGAAAGTCATCATCCAGAAGATACAAGTGTTTATTAACAACTGCCTACGCAAATAACTTCGGATCAGTTGGCCAGACACTATCAGCAACAACCAACTGTGGGAGAGAACAAACCAGATCCCAGTGGAGGAAGAAATCAGGAAGAAGCGCTGGAAGTGGATAGGACACACATTGAGGAAAGCACCCAACTACGACACAAGACAAGCCTTCACATGGAATTCTGAAGGCCAAAGGAAAAGAGGAAGACCAAATAAGAACACATTACGCCGGGAAATGGAGATAGACATGAGAAGAATGAACAAGAATTGGATGGAACTAGAAAAGAAGGTGGAGGACAGAGTGGGTTGTAGAATGCTGGTCGGCGGCCTATGCTCTATTAGGAGTAACAGGCTAAAGTAAGTAAGTAAGTAAGTAAAACAAACAAAAAATGTAACATGATAACGTGGAAATTTAACTGTTTTGTTAAGTTAGATACTTAAATATATTTCAATTTATTGCCTTAGAAGGAGTTTTGTGGAGATTTTAATCAATTCAATAGTTGGATCCATAAGTCAATTGAAACTAGACCATCATGAAAAACTTGTAAGCACTTGATGATTGTTCCGTCCTAGTATATGACTTGTCAATAGTTTGCATTCACGATCCCGCTTCACGAATTCCGAACCCAGGATCTATCCTTCTCATGTGCGAATGCTTAACTTTTGAAACATTAATCCAGCTAGCATCTAGCCGGGTGGAATCGTAGATGCACACTACTGAGGAGTCCTATACCAAGACGAAACTGCCGTCCAGTACTTTCAGATTCTCCATAATAATCTAGCTTCAACTGACCCGTAAATTCTTTTTAATGAATTAAGTTGAATTTTCTAAACAAAATAAAACTTAGACATGAAAGAGAAAGAATATATTTATAAAATTTCAGTGTTCCCATGATCATAAGGAAATAAATTAATTTTTCGGGGTGGGGTAAAGATGGGCTGTTGTACGAGGAAACAATTCACATTTTAGGAAATTGGTAAATCCAAGTTTTCTTATTTAATGTCTTAATGGGTGTATTCCATTTTATTAAAAAAATTCCAAGGACCCTTCCTCAGTAAAGGAACTTAATGAGTTTCTGCATTATTCTGTCAAACTTGCGGAATTGAATGTGAACGTTACCATTCTTAAAGATTGCGTTAAAATACACAAATATCTTATAGCTTTGAAAATGAATTCGTCGAAAAAAGAACTCTTCACTGAACTAATCTTTCTTTCTTATTTAATCCAAAATTTCATTTGACAATCTAGTTCAAGCTTAATTTTAAACGGATTCCTCATAATCAAAGATAATAACACATTGATTCGACATAGATCAATATAATCACAATCATCATAATCATCATCATAATAATACTCTACATATAAATAGCACACTTACCATAATTCACTTGGTAATTGACAATTTAAACTGATCTCTTCAAGTAATGGAAGCATTCCTATTCATAAGCAATTGATCTATTTATTATGTAATCAAGAATTACAATAAGTTTCAATGGATATACTATAGGAAGGAATAATAGATTATACTGTTATATTACATATATATAGATAGATATTCCAATATATTCGTCTATTCGTCGTTGCATATGAATAATGAAATATATCACAATCAAACTATGTGTACAGTAACAACAATAACAATAACAAAACAACGTTGACTATTATTACCAATCACTGTGAATGCAAATTAGACTTATATATCTATTGTATCTAACAGTAAAATTGATTTTCTGTGACCATTTTTTTATACTTTGTGATATTGGTTACCCGCTTATCACGTAATCGTAATAATCATAATCATAATCCATAATACAATCAATTATATGTGGGTGCCTAAAAAGAGAGAAAAAAATATCACCTGATTTATTCACTAACTCATTCAAGGAGAGAACGAGAGAGAGAGAGAGAGAGCGAGACAGAAAGACATAACATAACAACAACAACAACAACAACGAAAAATCACTTGTTTCTGGTTGCCAAGTCAATAATAGCACAATACTTGAAATGTTTTACTCCTTTCTTTTGTATACCAATATATAACTTGTATGTTGAGAATAATCATATCATTGGTTGAAATTTCTATGAACCAATCACTAGTTAAGTAAAACTTTCTGCAAATATACAGGGACACCAATGTCATAATCATTGTAAATGTGTAAAATTAAGAATACAATAGGGCGTAGTCATGAGTCACAATGCATTCAATTGAGTAAATAATACCATATCTGTATATATATAATTCAGTTATAACTTTACTTCATACAGTCAATATATGAGTAACATAATAAATAAATAAAAAATAAGGAACAAGTAGAATTGGGTTTTATTTTTACTATGACTAATGTTATTTATTATGTAGTGTTACTATGGTCATTAGGAAAGAAATTGATTTTTCGGGGTGAGGGTGGGTGTGGAGTGGGATGGGGTGGGGTGGCGTAGGAGGAAACACTTCACATTTGGTAAACACCCAGAACTTAGAAAGAGAATATATATATATATATATAGTTAGAATTGGATGAATGTAAATTGTATTTGGCAATAAACATTTGGTAGGAGAAGGTTAAAAGAGAATAAAAGAAAATCAATAATTTCATAATGAGTAAACTTGTATTCATAAAAATTCCAATGAGACTATAAATTATGGACGATCTTTGAGAGGCGCTATGATGACCTTGAGAGTGTTCACCTAATGACTAGGACTAAATAAGGGTCATAAACCAGTGTGATGACTTAGTCGATAGGATTTGATCTATACTAAAAACGATATGATATACATGATATTGATCACTGGGTGGTGATCATTGTCATGTGTATCGACTACCTCCAACCACCAGTCACCTAGACTAGAGGCTACATTGCAATTTGATCAACAGCATTCGATCTGCACTAATAAGGACTTGACTCACATGACATTGATCACCACCCAGTGATCAATCAATTGTGAGCACATCTCAGTCCTAAAGGAGGTCACTCATGGACCGGATAGCTCAGTGGTATCATCTCTGAGTGTGAAGCTGATTGACATGGGATTGAATCCGTCGGGGAACATTAGTTCTCTCAAGATTACGAGTACAACTTGCTGACGAGGGCCAAGTCACTCGAAACCACATGTCTAGGGTTTCCCATCGACTACCTCTAACCTTCATCTTATTTTTCCATTAGCGACTAGCCTAAAATTAAAAAAAACAAAGACATGTAACTGGAAGTTATATTGTGGGGTCTGTTTAAGGAGCCTATAAATTCAACAAATAACAAATTCTTCTACTAATTAAGCTTATTCCACTGATCTACTGAGTTGTGATAGTCGTTTCACGACTGTAACAAGCAACTATTTGATTGATCTCATTATTGATATTGAAGAGTAAAATTGTAATCAGTCTTGGTTGACATGTATTGTTTATCAATAAATATCTTAATTTGTTATCATTTCTTCCCATAACCTTGTCGAATTGCTTAGTCAAAGAATTATTTAATAGTTGAATTCATGAGTCTAGTATAGGACTGCTTAACAGTGAGCATCCACGATCCAGTCTCATGAGATTCGAACCTAGGACCTATCATTCTTGCAAGGGAACGCTTAGCCTCAAGACCACCGCACCGGCATTCAACAGTGTGCATGGGTAACTGGGAACTTTAATAAATTAGCTTCGAATAAATGATGGAATAAACTGACTAATAACTATTTAGTAAGCAATACATGTATGTTTACTCTCTGTGTAGAATAGATTTTAATAATATCCAATAGTAAGGTCTAGAAAACATGTTTCATCCCATTGAAGGTTTACCAATTTTAAACGCTTTTGTCCGCTTCAATAATTTTTCTGAGGCATTAATATCCTACCGGTCAGTATTGCATAAAAATGTAGTGAACGGAAACTCAGGTGGGCGAAATTAATTTGCTTAGTGCAAAATTACAGAGTGTCGTCGTAAATTATGAAAACTATACGTTAAATACTTCATTTGCACACCTTTCATCAGCTGTCCTTTATATCCTTCATGATTCTTCCAATTCTGTTTTTATTCCAATACTACTCTGTTTTCTTCAGTTTAGTCTTCTTAATCTTCTTTTAATAAGCATTCCAGTCCTGATTGTTATCACATATTATTATATCTTTCAACATAAGTAGCATACACACGGCTTTTGAGGTTGTTCTGTGCGCTGTGCTACTTCATTCTTTACAGCTGTCTGGGTCACTTTGATCGTCAAAGTATCGAGTTCATCGACGCACTGACCTTTTGGGCCATATAAATCCGATGTCTAACTAGCATCCAATGAACCACTGAATCATCTACATCTGACCACTAGTGGTATGTCCCACTGCTTCTCACCGTTGAAAGCAACTGCAACAACCAACGCCCCCCTCCAGCCAAAACACTCCACTCGATGTCACTTTCTTGCACTAGACCGCCCAAACTAGCACCCCTGGCCTCTAGACCCCTGAGTTGGCTTCCGACGGTGTTAATGTATAACTTTAATCAATTCACAACAATGTGCGACCATCATTCATTGTTTTGGTTTGTTAACTGTCTCACACCCGACATGAATAGGTGCCCACAGCTTCTCACTAGAACTCTGAAAATCCCCTCATTAAGGGGTTATGATTTAAGTTAGATCATCAGTGAAAACCTGGAAACAGTCAACAGGCGTTTCTTCCTATTATGGATTTAATTCGTGATTTCGGTGGAATTCAACAATCTCTACGACCTTTTTGTAAGCAATGATGGATAGTGGCTACCAGAGGAATCTAGGACGCGCGTTTCGTTCTATTTGGGTCTCGTCATATGCTTACAAAAATCTTGTGAATTAAGGCAATATCAAGGCATACGCAGAGTATGCCTATAACAGACTGATTAATTGCAGTCTTAAACGTCAATGGGAAGATACAAGCCGAACAATACAAAGTGAATCTCTACAACCGTTTACTGACATTGAAAATAATAATCAAACGGTTAATTTTTACATATCTAGTGACTTACAATGTAGATATGATCATAAAATGAATAGAATCTATGAAAATCATTTACAGAAGAGACAAAAGAAAGTGAATACTTTGCCTTGTTTTAAACTTTAAAATGTAGACTATAAGTGATTCTATGTAATGGCAGATGTTTTAGTCTAGTGAATTTCAATGAACCACCTGATCACTCTTAAGAATCAATGTCACTATTCATAATAAAATTAATTCATGTTATGGAATGACCAAAAACTTAGTTATTTATTGGACTATGTAAGCAGAAATGTAGTCAATTCCTGTCGTGACTACTTAACCATTATATATATGTATATGCAGATGTAAAGGCGAGGATTGGCAAAGAAAGTGCTGTATTCCTAAAATTGAAGAATATATAGAACTCAAAACAACTGTCCATCAATACCAAAGTGAAATTCTTCAACATGAATGACATGATAATTCTACTGTACGGAGCTGAAAATTCAAGAACTACCACAACTATCATCAAAAACCTACAAGTCTTTATCAACAATTGTCTACATAAGATACTGAATGTCCGTTGGTCGGATACCAACAACTTACTATGGGAGAGAACAAACTATCTTCCAACTGAAGAGAAGATTAGGAAAAGGCGCCAAAGATGGATAAAAAACGCATTACGGAAATCACCAAACTGCATCACGAGGCCATTGCTAACTTGGAATCCTTATGGTAAACGGATAAGAGGAAGACCACGGAACACACTGCGTCGAGAATTGGAAGCAGACATAATAATGATGAATAGCAACTTGAAACAACTGGGAAGGATTATCCGGGACAGAGTTGTATGGCTGACGGGTGGCCTATGTTTATGGAGGAGAGGCAACAAGCGTAAGTATATATATATATGGGCTTCGAGGTTAACAATTGCAAAAATAAATTTTGTAGTAATTTCCGTACATGTGTACTTCTACTGCTCAAGTTCATTTGGTGAATTAAGCAAATGAGATTCACATAAGACAATTATCGGTCGTTTTAACTCGAAAAATGAACACATACTAAAACAGTAGAAACAGATTCAGTAAATTGAATTTCGAGGAGATAAACTTCTTACTCCCCTACATTGTTAAAATAAATAGATGGAAACAAGTTAAATCGAGTTTGAAAATAGTTACTGTGTATAGCAACAAATAAATTAATTAATATAAGAAGGGGTTTGTGGATAATACAGTAATTTTTAATAGTTTTAATCATAAGTCAATTAAAGCTAGACCACCATGGAAAACCTGGAAGTACTGGACGGACATTTCGTCCTGCTGTGGGACTCCTCAGTAGTACGCATCCACGATCCCCCTCCAGAGATTTGAACTCAGAACCTAACGATCTTCCACGCGAACACTTTACCTCTAGACCACTGAGGTGGTCAGCATCCGATGGTATTAACGTCTAACTTCAATTCATTTTACGATGAGTTAATCATAACTAAGAGATAGAAAAGATATTAAAATATAGTGTAATATAGTAAGTAAATATGAATTAATGATTTGAATAGTGTATTCCATTACCCCTTAGTTTTTCATATTCATTTATTATGTTTATTAAATTTAATGACCTGACAAGGTGAATGAGTTACATTTTATTTCTATGAATATAAAACAAATGTAGAACATACATTGTTGAATTAGCCAATCTCTTATGTTGCCATAAATGATCACTAACGAAGCAATAGTTTAATAGCTTAAATAAAATAACTTTTAATTATTAGATAAAAGATTTCAACTTTAATTGCTTAGCTTTGATCTAGGTAACAAGCATAGTATTGTGGTGTGTCCTACTGATATCAACAGATATAAGTAGTATGTATCATT